ACCGAGATGTTTAGTTTACTCTGTGACCCTCGCCAACGTTTAACCGTAAACGATCGAATGTTGGATTTTTCCGATAGGTTCTAACCCGTTAATGTTCTTTCTGTCAGACTTGTTAAATCCTCTCAATTTCTTGCTCCTTCCCTCTTGCACGATCAATCGGTTTCGCGTTATTTCATGATAGACGTATGCATAGGTGTGTATTATGTGCGTGTGGTAACTACCATTGGTATGATAATCCACTCCACCAGGGCAGTTTGCGTTGCAGTAAGAAATGTTCATGCATGTGTTTCTCTATTTGTCTGTTTCTCTCTGTGATGTGTTACGGGCGAATGTACCATGATTTTCCAACGTTCCACTTCAAACCACCTAATGTTCCTCGTCTGTCCGGGTTACGGATGCATGACTGCACGAGGGCGAACGCACATATGGACAGGTAAAGTGCACATGAATGCGACGGAATAACCTTAATTCTCATCCGCTTTGGTGGAATGACTCATCTTCAACACAAGCGTGACTGCTTGAGCCACAATACCCGGGGCGTTCCCTTTTTTCACACCCCTTTTTGTACGTGGGATTCGTGTGTTATACGCATTTTCCTAATGATGCTGTGTTCAAGTTCTGTCCCAAACCGTACTTAATTGTTCCGATGGCCTATTGTCCCGCTTTAATGCATTCATCTATTCATGTTTATCTATGAACGTTTTCACCTTGTTTCTACTCCCTATGCAAATGGCCAGGCTTGGTGATGTCTTAGGAAATTCGTGTAGCACTTGTGTATCTGTTCAGTGAACTGTTCTCATCTTTTGTCTTCTTAGCATTAGTATATTACTGATCGTTTCTTTGTCCGTTGAACAAATTAGTGGCTAACGGGGAAAAACACTTTTCACGGAAGTGGGTGACGGTGACCCAGAGGTTTTAAGTCACTATCAATAATGTGCACCGGACTATGGTGTTCAGATTCTTCAACTGTTACCCATCTTTAGAAGTCTGTAACTTCATTGTCTCCGGGCTCAAATTAGCCCTTGTCTCGTAGTCTTATGGAATTATTCACCTCAGGTCTTGAATTGCCATTTGTCTTGCTTAACCAAACCTTAGGTTGTTGTGATTACGGAGTTCGTCTTATCGAGTGTCCTTCGCAATGTGCGCAATCGAATTTATGATTGAATTCAACCTCGTGTGGCTCAAAATTACATTGCGAATGGCTTTTGAAGTGTTGGCGCACTCTCATGTGCGTAAGTGTTCCAATGTAATCTCCGTAGCTTTCGATGGCAATGGTAGCTTATACGTTGTCACATATTCTCGAAATATGTGTCAGATCTATTATGGTCCCCAATTTCTTTGAGATATAATTTGAACTGTTCATTCTACATTCTGCTTTTTCTGTCCGCAATAGAAGTCCTGCGATAATGAAAACCCTTTGGGTTTCATGAAAAAGGACAATACATCTCAGTCGGTTCATTCGATCAAACCAAACCGTACACCTTTTCTGTTTCAAACAGAAAAAAATAACTTTTTTGAAATTAGTAAGTCTCAAGCTGGTCCAACCTCAATTCAAAACGGTAAACAGCAAATGTTAAAAAATAAAAATGCACTCATTGCTTGTGCACTTTTTTCTGACATTCGGAGATGATTTTTGTCGTAACATGCTTGCGGTAGGCAGCTTTACTGTTTCCCGGTTCAATACCACGCTTAAACTAGCAGGGCCATATGTGGTTCCCCATTCCAAGTCCCGGGGCTTAAGTTAATGGTTTCCATCACTGAACAGTGGGTCCTCGTGACCATGGGAATTGCCCCGTTTGCTGTTTATCACGCTGTGTTATAGAAAATTTAAAATTGCTACGGCATGACTGTCTCCCGCATTTATTTCTTTGGTTCTATTAATGCTAGTGGCATACAGTAGGCACAACAATAAAAAGTACCA